AAAAACTTTCATCATGTTCATTATTATTGCAATCTAATGCACGTGTGAAGTTAGATGAATTAATGACTCACACATAAATTAATAAATCCTCTAATTCCTTTAGAAGAATCGAATATATATCTTACAGTTCTGGAAAAAGAGGTTTCCTCAAATAATTCCTTAAATAAAAAAATCATCAAACCTTTAGATAATTATCCACTTCGAGAAAAAAATATTACACAACACACACCTCAATTGTTTCGTTAAATTGTTGGCGATAAATCGAATCAACCTCATCTATGTCATTGTCCAATCGCAAAAAGTTCTTTGCTATTTCGGTAAAAGTCTTAAAATTTTCTGCGGAATAGAGATGGATTTGTCGATGAGAAAATCGAGATTTTACTCGTTTCTCAAGTAAAAATAAGGCATCCTAATAAAGCAAATGTATTAGAATTCATCTTTATATATAGATATATTTAAATTCTTACCAGACGGCGAGTCATTCCAATTATGGCAACTGGTGCCTGATTATCTTGAGAAACATCGAAAAGATTATAGAGGAGTGCTTGTTTATTATGTTGAGTGAATAAATCGAATTCATCTAGGATGAAGATTATTGGCTTGCTACTCTCTTTATTCCCGGATTTTAAAAGATTCAATATATAAATGAGCGAATCTGCAAATGAATGCTAAAAAGAAGCAGCAACCGATCAAAATAGGATTTAGAGAAAAATAGTTATTCATTATATTTGTTTTGCTTACAAATATTTGGCCTTCAAGTTGTGACTGTAAAGAAAGCTGACGTGAAATTTCTTGAAATGCGAGGCGATCATTAGTTTGCGTAAATCCACTGAGATTTATGCAGAAGAAATTATCGCCATGTAATGATGTTAGTTCCTTAATGGCTTTTCGAACAATCTTTTTTTTACCGAATAAATAATGAATATCAAGTCAAAATCATACAATAGTCCAGTTCACTTGAAGAAAAAATTACCGTTGTTTTCCCCGTGCCAGCACCACCTAATATCAAACAAGAGTTGCTTTCGCCCGTAGATACAGTCCGGTTGAGAATGTCATATAGTGTCCTGCAAAATATATCTTCCTTAATATAAAGACAATTCAAAAGAAATCCCTCTTATTTTGCAAACATACGCGTATTCGTTTTCTAGACCTATAAGTTTCGCTGGAATTACGCGTTCTGAAAGCCTGTCCTTGAGCTCTTGACGAATCTTTTTTACGCTTTTTTCGTTAGGAATGAGAGCTTTATCTTTTTCACTAATAATAGGTCCAGTGCGCCGACGCTTACAAGAAATTGACACTTTTTGTTCTTCATAATCCTCAGAGCCTGAAAACATTTCTATAGAGCTTGATTCTGTTTTAACAGTTGTGCGTTTCATTTTGCAATTACTCAAAGTCGCGTTCATTTAACATCGATCAACACAATAATTTCATAATTTTGGTTTCATGTAAATCACCATTTTGGAAGCTTATAATCAGGTGACTTGAAATATCCTATATTTTGATTGGTGATTTTTCCTCCGTAGTTAGAATTACCTGCAAAGTGCGTCAAAAGGTAGTATGTGTTGCACGCCGTCATATTGTACCAAAGTGTTATTACCGATACCTATATTAAAAAAACTATAGGCTCTCGTTTAAATAACTTACTAATTAGAATCTACTTTCAGCGTTGGGCCTTCCTTTCTACACAAGTGACGCGCACGCGTAATAAGTAGTGCTTTTGACAAAATGTCGAACCCACAAACGTTAGTATACTTTACTAGCAAAATCGACATCAATGGTTCTGACCCCTAAATTCTCTTCTTGTTACTTTACTGATTGTTCTTTATCACTTACTCATCGCCTCCAAATCCTTTTTATTTCTCGAAAACCTTAGGAGAACAGTACGATTAACAGGTATCTAGAAGTTTTTTAACCCATGTCGTTCTTAATTGTTCTCAAGGAAGTTTCTAATCTAAAATTTTATTTTTACTATTGTAGTTATTGCAGCAGATGGTTTATATAAGAGAGATGTTTTTCGTATGTTGAATTTTGTTACGTTCGCCAGAATATTCATCGTTTCATATCTAAAGAAGAACAACTAATTTTGTTTCTCAATAATAGGGTTACCTGATCCGTTTGCAGTTGTAACGGTAGATGGTGAACAAACCCAAACAACTTCTGTGATCAAAAAGACGTTAAATCCATATTGGAATGAAAGTTTTGATGTGTGAGTATATATTAATCTTATTATATGGATAGGATTTTTATCTACTTTTAGCTAATCGATGTTTTTGTGTAACGTACTCGTTTATAGACAGGTTACGAACCAAAGTGTAATTGCTGTACAGATATTTGATCAAAAAAAATTCAAAAAGAAAGATCAAGGCTTCCTTGGTGTAATAAATGTTCAGATGATAGATGTGTTTGATGTGAATCTTGGTGGCGATGGTAATGATTTTTTTGAGCAATAATTACCTAAATTTTTCATTATTAAAATAAACTTGTTTTAAACTTTTTTCATTTTATAAAATAACAGAGATGTTAACACTCGATCTCAAAAAATCAAATACAAATGAAGTCGTTCATGGTAAATTAATCGTCAATTTTTCAACAAATGTCAATACTCCAGCTTCGAATCAAGGCATCACTGCAAATGGAGTTAATGTCCAGGCAGGACCTTCTCATACTCGAACTGGATCACTCACTTCAACAACTTCAACAAATAACAGAAACTTTCTCAACACGGGAGAAGGTTCTTCAAGACCAACAAACGCATCAGCACCATCTATAGCAACCCCGGTAAATGGAACACCGAAGCCTGGAAACAATGCAGCTGGAGCAAGTGGAGCAAATGGAGCAAATGGAGCGTCAACAAATCGAACATTTGGTTCTTTTGAAGATCACTATGGACCTTTACCTTCTGGGTAATGATTTTTTGAACTTCTATTTCTTCTTTAAACGGACATTCTCACACACATGTATATGGGAGTGCGCTCCTTTCTTCACTTTTTACAGGATTGTAGAAATCATGAATTTATCAATTTTTAATTATAGAAATCATGAATTCATCAATTTTTAATTAATAGGTGGGAAAGACGTGTGGATCATTTAGGTCGCACTTACTATGTTGATCATAACACACGCACAACTACATGGACCAGACCATCGATGACAGCTACTTCTGCACAGCGCCTTCAAGAACGGCAAAATATAACGGAAATGGAACGTCAAAGACACAATAACAGAACTCTTCCAGAAGAAAGACCATCCGGAACAAGTACACCATTACTAAATAGTCCATCCTCCACTTCTGTTAATACAATTGATACAGCAGCAACTAGTGTTTCCTCTACAAATGGAGTGGCGCCAATGCTCTCGAGCGCAACTACTGCGGGATATGGACCTTTACCATCTGGATGGGGTGAGTGATTTTAAATCGTACAAAATATGTTTGAGAAATTTATACAAATCAATAACATCTTAACCTTTGATACTTAGAACAAAGGCATACACCAGAGGGCAGACCATATTTTGTTGACCACAATACACGCACAACAACATGGGTGGATCCTCGAAGACAACAATACATTAGAATGTATGGAAATAATGCCAATAATGTAACTATACAACAGCCAGTATCTCAACTCGGGCCATTGCCTTCTGGTTGGGAAATGCGACTGACAAGTACAGCAAGAGTCTATTTTGTTGACCATAATACAAAGACTACCACATGGGATGATCCACGGTTGCCAAGTAGCTTAGAGTACGTATCGATCATATTGCATCTCCTCTTTCTACACAACAAGTATACTAATTTATTAAGCTTCTAATATAATCGACTAATAGTCAAAATGTACCTCAATACAAACGAGACTTCCGTCGAAAACTCATATATTTCCGATCTCAGCCTGCTCTTCGACCTGTGCCAGGTCAATGCCATGTTAAAGTTAGACGAAGTCATATATTTGAAGATGCTTATTCTGAGATAATGCGGCAACAACCACAAGAATTGAAAAAACGACTTATGATAAAATTCGATGGCGAGGATGGTTTGGATTATGGTGGTCTATCAAGGTAATTATTTTGTTCTCATTTTTCTTAGATTATTTTTTTCATTTTGGAATTGATATTTTTGCTAACTGTTTTTTTATGATTAATTATAGAGAATTCTTCTTTCTTCTTTCACATGAAATGTTCAATCCATTCTATTGTTTGTTTGAATACTCTGCTCACGATAATTACACCCTCCAAATTAATCCGCATTCGGGCATCAACCCTGAACATTTGAATTATTTCAGATTTATTGGTCGAGTAGTTGGGCTTGCTATTTTTCATCGTCGATTTTTGGACGCATTCTTTATTACATCTTTCTATAAGATGATTCTAAAGAAAAAAGTGGGATTACCTGATATGGAAAGCGTGGATGCAGACTTCTATAGAAGTTTGACCTGGGCTTTGTATGTTTTGTTAATAAGCTTGAATAGATTTAATTGCAATCCTGGAAACTGAAAAATATTCCATGTTATTAGGGAAAATGATATCACAGACATATTAGATTTAACGTTTTCGACCGAGGATGATCGCTTTGGGGAAGTTTTCACTGTCGATTTAAAACCAGATGGACAAAATATTCCAGTAACTGAAGAAAACAAGAAAGAATACATAGAGTAATAATATTTTTTTTTCTCTCCAAATTCTTCAAATTAATTTTTATTTGATAAGAATTTAACTCTTTAAATGATAGTCTTATCACCGAATGGCGCATTTCAAAACGAGTTGAGGAACAATTTAAAGCATTTATGGAGGGATTCAACCAACTTATACCACAAGAATTAATTGCCGTTTTTGACGAGCGTGAATTAGAGGTTGGATTTTTTTAGCATATTGGAAATATTTTGAACGATGCGTTTTTATTCATACTAATCAAATAAATCAAAACTTTTGTCCTGAAGCTACTTATTGGTGGTATTGCTGAAATTGATGTGGATGACTGGAAAAAACATACTGATTATCGAGGTTATTCAGAGTCTGATGATGTCATACAATGGTTTTGGAAGGTTTGTTTTCTTTGAAATTACAATTGTTTTTTTTACCTTACTAAAATACAATAACATGCGTATTGATGTTTTCTTAGTGTGTACGGTCATGGGACTCTGAAAAGAAATCACGTCTATTACAATTCACGACAGGAACTTCTCGTATCCCTGTTAATGGATTTAAAGATTTACAAGGAAGTGATGGACCTCGGCGATTTACAATTGAAAAAGCTGGGGATGTTAGTCAGCTACCTAAAAGTCATACATGGTAAGTTTCTTGATCATCGTATAAAAGAGGAGATATGATAACTGAATAATAATCTTGTTCATTTTTTAATTATTTAGTTTTAATCGAATTGATTTACCTGCATATAAGAATTACGATTCGTAAGTGTATACATCAATTTTTGTTTGTTTATAATAACTCAACTTTTTTCTCACATTTTATTTGTTTTAAAATAGATTGGTTTCTAAATTAACACTGGCAGTGGAAGAAACTGTTGGATTTGGGCAGGAATAATCCTGTATTTGTTAATATTAAATTCTTAATTTAAAGATAACCACTTCAATTTCTTAATTATTTTTCAATGGTTTATTTGGACTCTTGATTTATACTGCTATATTTACCTTTCTATAATACTACTGTTCGATTATACTTTCCCGTTTTATTTGTTGATATTATTTACCATAGTACATATAACTAGATATCATTACGAAAATTGCAAAATATGCTATATATTTATATATAGTCAAATTTATATATAAAGAATTTTTTTACACCTTTTACCCATTTGTTTCTACATCAGTTTTTTTCATATAATAATTATTAACTTAAATAATAAGTCTAACGAACTTTTAAACACGTAAAAGCTTAATTATTTGTTCGGAATATTCGACCTTTGACTACGACACGCAAAAACTTCGATTGTCTTTGACCCACCTTCAGAACACGTAAAGATAAATTGATGTCTCTCAAAACTCGGACAATTTTAACAATCATCAAATTCATTAATCATCTTTTACAATTATAATTTCTGCCTTCTCGCATTTAATAAATTTAGAATTTTGTTAGGTTCATTTATATCATTGTGCTTCTTTTGACATGTCGCATTTGATCATCTAAATTCAATTGAAGAGTACATTTTTCGTCGATATCATCCTTACCAAAATTTAAAAAATTAAAATTGGGTACCCATATGGTGGGTGAAATTTTTTCAGGCTTTAGCATTTGTGGATGATACAAGACAAACTCGATAAGACGAAAGTCGGGGCAGAGACAATTTATTCGGCTTATCGAGATTTTCGTTTTGCTAAATTTCGCACTAAGCCGAATTTATATATAATAAAAAATTTGATAAACCAGGCTTAATGCAATTTCGGCTTAGCGTGGCTTCGTCTTAACGAGTTTGCCTTGTTGTAACATTCTGTGTAAGTCAAGCATCTCAAGCTCCCTGACGAGCTAAATGCCTTGTATGCACAACTAGTATCGGGATCTTGATCGAAATTTATGGAAATGTCTCATAGCCGGTGTTCCTGATAAAATTTTCTCAACAAAAACAAATACCAGGATGAGTAGATAATACACGTTCACACTAAAAAACAATCAGGCAATTTGCACATGATTTCACATTTAGTTGATGTCACACCATTCGTATTAAAAGAATATCTATTATCTATTTTTCGTGACATATCGATATTACTATTAATTAAATTGGGACTATGCCCAAAAAAAGGAATAATTAATTTGAACAAAATGAATAACGATGATGAATAATAAAGATAATAAAAAGAATATAGTCAATATGAGGTTAATAATATAAAGTCCATCAATTATAAAACTACATTGGAATATATAGAAAAATATATAGAAAATGCAAAGAACGACAACACTATGTCTACATAAAGTGTTTGAAAAATTCGTTGATTAAAATTGATATTATATATTATGGTTCCCCTCATTCTTCTTCCCCTAACAAACATCCACTCAAACATTACACTCTCACATTGTTCAAGAGTATATTTTTACTACTGAATCAGCGCCACCACTTGCTAGCCACGGCATGTTCGGATGATATTGCACGGATAGTACCCCTTCGTCAGATTTACGCCGATGAGACACAAATTCCTGGATACAAGTTCGACTGTTAAAAATATCCCATAACCGTATTGAGGAATCGTGGCCTAGAATAATTACATAATCAAGATGTTTATTTAAAACTATAAGTTGTAGCAAAAAGTTTATTATATAATTAATTACCTCCTGATATTAGAATCATTCCAGATGGATCAACATCAAGTGAAGTAACTGCATCCATATGTGCAAGCGTTGAGTATGTGCATTGCCCTTTTTATATATTGGACAAAAATAATTAAGAATTTAAAAGAACTAGATAGAACAAACATAATATTCTTTATACCTGTTTTCACATCAAAGAATCGCATATATTGATCTTCATGTGCTGAGAATAATAAAGACAACGTCGGATGTGCAACGATACGGTTTATTTGTGTCGCGGGAGTATTATCATATGTCTCATCACTCTTGAAGTCTAAAATACACTGGCCAGTTTCAATATCAAATAATTTGATGATAGAGTTTTGATAAGCAACTGCAACTTTCGTTAGATCAGTATGTACAAAGTCGATTGAAGTTGGTATTGGCGGACGTCCTTTTGATCATTATTATTATTATTGTCACGATACAATTGAATAAATAGATTACTAGAGAATAAACAAAGCAATAGTTAAATCCATGAAAAAATAAATGACTTACCATCGCCATTCATCTTTTCACTATTATCAGTTCCATAATAGTTCCAAGAGGTTTTTAACGGAGACCCGTCAGTTTCTGTGTCCCATATTTTAACTGTTCCATCAGCTGAAGCAGACGCTAAGAGTCGGGTATTTCGATTTCTTATAGGGAACAATTTTATATCCCAAATAACATCCGTGTGACCAATATATGTATTCAAGTTCAAAGATGGATCTAACAATTATATTTATCACAAAAAAATACAGTTTCAATAAAAAATGGCATACACGCATGTCTGCTCTGAAAAAAAAGCGTTAAATCATGTATAAATTATTTTATTACCGACAGGAGCATAGATTTCACGTTTCGGCGATGGTAAACTCCATACACGTATTGTAGCATCCATACTAGCCGAATAACATCTTCGTTGTTCTGATTCCATTACGACAGCGTTTACAGCTCCTAGATGCCCACGATAAGTTATGGATGCTTCAATATCTTGCATAGGTGGAGACCTTTTAAAAGAACATTAAAGTGTCAATAGGAATTTCAGGAGTTTGGTGACTCTAAAGATTTCTGACTGTGGAGGTTACTATGACTTAGCGTCAGGAACTTTATGCACATCAATGAAAATGTGACAACAACTATTTTGTGATTGTATGGGGGTGTGACTATAGAGGGAACAACTATATCTTTTATAAACAATTAAAATTTTGAAATACAAGTTTTCATACTTATTTGATATGATATTCTTAAGATCCCATAGTTTTATTGTTCCGTCTTCAGATCCTGAAACAAGCAAAAGCTCAGATTGATGCCAAGATATCGATCTTACTGTATCAAGATGACTATATAACATATCATATTAAAATTAATGTTTTTTTTAAATAACTACACAAAGGGCTAGCTAGAATAGAGAAATCACCTTCGACAAGTAAATCTCTGCCGCCACATTTTATGTTCGGAACCATTTTGTTGTAATTGGTCTGACTATTTGAAAAACAAATCATTTAACTACAATGATGAATTTTTAAAAAACATTACTCAAGTAAATAAAAAATCCCTACTACCTCGGGTCTTTGTGTATCCGTATCATCCTCCAGATTGAAATCAAACTTTTCTAAACCATCAAGTTGAGGATCAGATCCACTATTACTCGCTAAAATAAATATTAGAAAAAAATCTTTTTAATAAATTATAACAAAAAAAAATTTACCCAATTTCATTAGTTTTGTAACGTTCCCCTCTGAGATATTGAATTTTTTCTGAACATCTTTGGTCTATTCACAATACACACGACAAGTCAAAGGTTAAAGACAATCAATCACATCTAAAAATAAAATATTGAAATGATAAATTCACATACCAATTGATCTTCCTCTTCTTTTATGTCTTCTGCGTTTTTTCCTGACGTGAATTTATTGCCGGATCGTCCTTTCCAATTTTCCGAGGATTTCGGATTATGTATCACTGTTGTTTTATTCTCATCGAATTCCTCATCCGGTTTACCATTAGACGATATTGTTGGTGCTGATTTATTCACCCCATTATCCCTATGCTCATATGAAGTGTTATTTGTTATAGATGTAAATGAATTTCTTTGTTCGTAATTTGGTGACATAGGCAAAGATTGTTCTTCGTCAGAGCTTTTTGCATCAATTTTGTCATTATCTTCGGATATTGCAGTTGAAGGCTCTAATATAATATCAACAACAGGAGATGTGGGTGATTGTGGTGATGATGATGATGGGGTTGGTGTTGATGATGAGGTGCCGGGTGTTGGTCTAGATGGCCGTCTGATAGATATATTTCCTGCAGCATTATGATTATTTGCATCAGCATTTATCCCAATATACACTGTATTAGATCGATTGTGTTTCCTATTTGCGCCATCCGGTACAGAAGATGATGTTGGCCTAATTCCATTAGCACCAATATTTGTGGCAGCATTCGTTAGATAATCAATTTCTTGCATACACCTGTAATGAATTCGATGGCATTAATTTCATCGATACTACAAGTGTGATAAAGAACCCCAGCAAAAAACTCCTGTTTGGAGATCGCATACGCTTTCAGAAGTTCGCGACTTTTACCACGATGTTTTGGATCTCTAGCTGCTGTAGATAAATTTCTGTATGGCAAGGATCCCATGTTAATTAAGCTGGATAATCCAGACGTGGAAGAAGCCTTGACACCAAGTTGCTCATTTTCTGAGACGGTGAATGAATTAACTGATTCCATTGAATTGATCGGTTGTTAGAGATATATTTTTTAATGATGCAAAATTAAAGAGTATAAGCTTTATTAATTTTTAAATTTCTAGGAATAAATAATTTTTCGCCACTTACATGCTTCTTCGCTAGCTGGGGATTCAGCTTTAATTGATTGAGCATTTGAAACAGGGGTAACAGCGGAAAGATATTTACTCCTATTAAAGACATTTATATAAAATTATGGTTAAGAACTTTCCATTGAAAACTTATCTCACTTCATATATACCTTTCCTGTCTTAAAGCATACTCGAGCATTTTAACCCTTCTCATTAAATCATTTTTCATATTCTCATTGCCCCGTCGTTCCCCCTCTAATAAAGCAATACGGGCCTTAATTGTATGAACAGGATAATTGAATTATCAAAAGGTCAGCGTAAGAAAAAAAATTTATGTAATATACATGAATTGTAGCTAAATATTCCGGGAAAGAGAAGTTCCAAAGAAATTCCGTCAAAACTTAACCTTCATTAAACTAGGTTAAGTCGCCAATACCCAATACCTCTAAATTTAAACTTAAAATGACTTACTTTCATTTCAGCTCTTTCAATTTCCCATTCGTTCCTATCCTTCTCATATCTCCGCCATTCTGCTTGTAAAAAATGAAGTACTCCGGGTAATGTGTATTCTGGAGACTGTGAAGCTTGTGTTTGTTGTGAAGGTTGCTGCTGTTGTTGTTGTTGCTGTTGTTGTTGGCCATAAGTTTGTGCCATGGAACTATCAAAATTATGTGAAGCTAAATCGGAATCGATCTGACTTGCTTTAGACGAAAGAAAGAAGAATGGCAAACAGATGAGGATAATATAGAACGATTGATGAAACTCGTCTGTCTTAATCTTTTTAACGTAAATCGAAGGATTGGAGTTTTAAGATTTGTTGTGAAGTAAAATCTAAACTCGCGAAGACCTGGTTGATACTGGAGTCATTTGTTAGTTGCAGATGCCACGCTACGTCATTTAGTGCCTTAATTCGATCCACGTGTTAAAGTTCAATAGTAAAAATTTACCAAAAAGACATAGTAACTTCTATATGATTTATAGTTGCATATGATAAATTTTTTCAAAATTGGCAACTCAATGACGGAGGAAGCAACAAACAAGTATGTATCTAAGCTCGTTACCTAAAATTCAAAGCGTTTTAAAAAGCGCGACAACCAGCCAGGCTTCGTTGTGTTTTGCCACAACAATTAAAAGAACGTGTCTTTGTCGAGCGTGGACGGCGACAGGACTGCTAAAGCAACGAACTCTGGTTGGCTGCCAAAGGTATTCTTTAAGTACGTACTGTTGACAACATGCATTTATTGAAAACGACAACGCCTAGTGATAAAGATCTAAAGTACGAATGCGAAAGAGGCTTGCGCAAATAATCTTTATTAATAATTTATTGTCATTAGTCGTAAGAAATCAACTGTTTATACCAGAACTGGTGACAAAGGTACATTAAGGACTGGCGTTGAAGAGGAAAATTTCATTGTGCTCGAAAATAAAGTTAACTTTTCTAGGCACTTCGAGTTTGTATAATGGTGAGCGTAGACCTAAGAATGACAGTATATTTCATGCATTGGGGGATATCGATGAATTAAATAGCAGTATAGGGTAAGCACATAACTTAAGTTAGAATTCTGCAAATGATTATTACTCACATATTTTGTTGTATATACGCTATATGTCAACACAAATTAAATGCAGTATTGCGCATCACTATTGCAAGAAAGCTCGGAATGGATTGGAGGATCGATTAATATCGGTAAACTTTTAATTATTGACACGTTTTTATAAAAAGCTGTTATGCGTGGCTAATTTATTTTTTGTTTTTTTTGGGTAGATTCAATGCAAATTAATTGAATTGTCTTCAAATATCGCGACGCCTCGCATAACTTCACACGAGAATAAATTATGTATGCTGGTGATATGATTCACATGTGTGAAAATTTATTCTGATGTTTCATTATGTTCTGATACGATATAATTTTACTTTATTAGCGTATACAACCTTTGATCCAACGAACGTTGATACTTTGGAATCATGGATTGATGAATTGGATGCGGTCAGATTATATTTAATTCTCTTTACTAGGGTTGATTCACTGACATAGTTTTTTTTTTCAAATTTTACGTATTAGCAACTTCCTCCCCTCAAGCATTTCATTCTACCATCGGGAGGTGAAAGTGCTATATTTTTGCATCAATGCCGATCGGTTAGTTTTTACAGATCTATGTTTGGTTCTCTTAAAATAGTACAAATTATATGTTATTGCTTCACAGATTTGCAGGAGAGCAGAAAGAGCAACAGTGGGATTAGCAGAGAACGAAAAAGCTAATCCGGCCGTTCAACGATATCTCAACAGGTAAATAACTAACCAAATTCAATAATGATAATGAACTATATATTTATTTAAAAGAAAAGAACTATTTTGCTTTTTTAGGTTAAGCGATTTCTTTTTCGTGGCTGCACGATACGCTGCAAAATCTGATGGGGCAATAGAGAATTATTATGAGCAGCGACGAAAGGATAAAAAGAGTAACTTGGTGACAAGAGAATTGAATGAAAGCACAAGCAGCAGCCAGAATATTCTTTAATTTGCTTTTAGATGTAATATTCAAACAATAATAAATATTCAATTAATGCAATAATTACATCCACCCTTCAAATTTTATTGAAAAGCAAAAATTCTGCGAAAATATACAGCGGCGCTAAAAGTTAATACATCATGAAATAATCTATCTAGAAAACATACTTATAAAAATATTATTTCCATTTAATGATTTACGCGTATTTTTTTAATTAGTGAAATTTTGATAACAAATATTTTTGCCAAGGAAAATGCCGAAAGAATCCTAGTAATAAAAATATTTCCCTTTATGAATCCTACATGTATAACCGATTTTCAGCTAAATCAGAGTGTTAGCTATTGCTTTGAATGTCAATGTTAAATCAATTTACTAAATGAATTTTTAACATTCGTAAGATTGTATCTCAATTAGTGCCCTAGCCACGGCAAAAAAAAGTGTCGGTCACGTGATTTTCCGACCAATATCTAGCACTCGGCTGTATCACGTTATTACGACTGATGCCGATGTAATGGCACACTTTGCAGATATTTAATTAGCCAAGGCAAGAAAATAATAGCTTTATTATTAGCTTTACTAATGATAAACTTTATATGATTAGTTATTTATTAGTCTTTATTAAAAAAAAAAGCTTCAAGTTAACATTACATTTGTAAAAATTCAAATAAAATAAAAAAATTTACTTATCATTATTTAATTTCAAACTAAAACATGATTCCAAGTGAAAGTTCAAGAATAATTTTATATATCAAGTTTATTAATCTTTATTATAAAAAAAGCTTTAAGTTAATATTACTATTATAAAAATTTAAATAAAATAAAAAATCTATTTATCTTTATTTAAGTTTGAATGAATATATAATTTCAAGTAAAAATTCAAGAATGATTCTATATACTATTATCATTATTCTATTAAAATTTATAATTTCAGATTTTATAAAGAAAATTATTTAATTATTAAATATTTTATAATAATACATAATTTCTGACTTCTTATTTTTTAGTATTATATTTATAATCATATCTATATCTTTTTTATAATATTCTTCAATATATGAAATTATATTATATCTTTTATTTTTTTGTATTTTTATCAATAATATATAGTATATTATGATAATTTCTCTCATTTTTCTAGTATTTTTCAGCATAATTATTTATATTTTTAAGTATAATAAATCATGTTACTTATTCTTTATTATTATTCAACCTATTAATATAATAAAGAAATTATATAAAATTAGAATAATATTACTTTTAATATAATAAAAAATAAAAAATAAATAGCTTTTAGATCTTTAAAAATAAAAATAAAAAGAAATACTTGTAAAAATTATATTATAGAATCATAATTTTAATATATTGATTAAATTTTTTTTATCAGAAAAGATATCAATTTAGATTAGATTCTTTAGTTTAAAAAAGATAAAATATATTATTAATTAAATAATTTAATTAATCTAAGTTTAAGATTTTTAACTAAAAAAAGTATAAGAATAAAAAGAATAAATTACTTAATAATTAATATATAAAATTTTCTTTATTCCATCTCATAATTATCTTTAAAAATACTTATATTAAATAATATTTATAAAATTCACATAAAATTTAAATTAACTAATAAAATTAATTTAATTACTCTCTTCTACTTATTATTATAATTTATAAATTTTTTAAATTTATAAAACTTTAATTCATTTGTGATAATATCAAATCTATTGATCTTTATTATATAAAAAGCTTCAAATTAATTTTATAATTATAAATATTTAAATAAAATAAAAAATTTACTTATTATTCAAATTAAAACATATTTCTAAATAAAAGTGTAAATAAAAAAATATTAAAAAATAAAAATTAAATTTAATAATTATTTATTAATTAAATTAAAAAATTAGAAAAATTATAATAATTAATAATCTTTTATAAACTTCTAAATAAAAAATTATTTTTATTAATTCAGTAATATATTATACTTTTATAATAGATCTTTATCAAAAAACTACTAATAGAAGAATTATATATATATAAAAAATAATTTATGATGATAATTTAGAATATAAATCTTTAAACTGCTAATGAAAAAATTATATATATATAAAAAGTAATTTATAATAGATAATTTAAATATAAATTTCTAATATAAATATATTAATATATTAAGATTAAATATTTTTGCTAATATTATTAAAATTATATAATTTAATATAATTATATTATTAAAAAATAAAATAAGTAAAAGTAATTCTAAAAGTAATATTCAAGTAATTATAATAATTATATTAAAAAAGATTATAAAAGATATATATATTTTATTTTTATTAATAATTTTTATTTAAATCTCTAAATTTAAAGTATATTTCAGTTATTATAATATAAAAATAATAATAGATTTCTATTATAATAATTCAATATATAAATATATAATCTGTAATTATTACTATAAAAAATACAAGAATAAAAGAGAAATTAATATAAATTTAATATTAAAAAAAAGTTATACTAGAAATTAATCTAAATATAATTATTTAAAATATAAATACTGCAAGTAATACTAATATTTTTCAAATTAATATTGTAACAAAATTAGATTAATAATTAGTAATTATATAATATTTAACTTTTATTTTGCAGATCATTGCTGCGCCACATACTGCGCCACACGTGACTTACTGCGCCACAATCACCCGATCTTGCCAAGAAAAGTCACACGGTATATTTGAGTTATTTTAGCTATAGATAGTTTCTTAGTAGAATTTCTCTTTTCTCTTGTTC